TCCACAAAAGTCTGTGATAAATATAGATGGGTGTCTAAACTAAATTATTTAGACAATGTCTAAAATATAAATTAATTTAGACATTTAGACATTTTTGTCTAAATACTATTTTGACTTTAGACAATCCCAAAAACAATTTAGACGCCCATCTATACTGATCAAGTAAATGGTATTCAAATACGCGTATTTTTATTTTTTTTCTCGCAGAATTCTCACGAAATCAATTCTACCATGGATCTGTGACAGTCACATCTTTTTTATATTAAATGGAAAAAGTATTCTCGTCTTTTAACTTTAGTGAAAATGAAGAAAGATCTATTATTTGATTGGTTCTAACAAATTTTCGACTTTTCGAGAAACTTCAACTTGCGTCAAATTAATTATTATTTATAAAAAGTTACGTAAATTCCAATCTTTTACATCTAATAAATAACCACCGTCTAATTCATCATCATATTTTCTAACATCAAATTGATTCTCGCTCAATAAAAGTGGCGTGTGACTGAGTATTGATTTGCTATGGATGATATTAATCCATTGAACTTTCAAGCAAGGCATATTGCCTCCAGATCGATTTTGAGTTAGGACTACCTTTTATATGTAACACGTTATAAGGAATATTTTTGGCTTGGAAAGAAAAGATAATAGAGTACAGTATTATTTCATTCGATGCAACATAAGTTAATTCGTTAATTTATAGAAAATTTCAATATAAAAAGTTTTATTCAATCAGGACGACGAAGACCTTTATCATCACGTTTTTATTGGTAATGCCTTTCTTTCACTACCCTGGTATAATGAGTGAATCAGTAAAAATGTTCCAGTTCTAATAAAAAACCGTCCATCCTCTCCCAAAAAAAAGTGATTCGTCGTCCAAAAATGCGTTTCTAAAAAAACCAATCAAATCTACCATAATTGGTAGACATTTTTCTTGAATGCATAATTCTTTGACTTTCGAATAAAGTAGAAATTCGAGATGTTAAAGATTATTGAAAGAATCAATAAAATTAGCAGCTTGGGATCCTGAGAATTAATCAAATAATTAGATTAAATAAAATAATAAAGTAAAATATATATTCATATAAAAAGATATATTATGATTTGACGAAATATAATATAGCTATTATTAATATCAGTGCCTTCATTCACAAATTCCACCACCACAATAACAATGATTGTTTCTTCATCTTTATTCACTACATTATCATCATTTCAGTGTGTCTTATATTATGGATTCTAATAAAGATTCGATTTTATTGAAGATATTGATGACCGACAGCACTTATTATGTCATTGACTATAATAACAATGGATACGAGGAAATATTAATAGTAATATTGACAGAAGGTGTGAGGATACTGTAAACATTAATAGCAATGTTGTAAAAATGAATTTAAAAAAATCAAAAAAGATCACAAAAAAAAGTTATATTTGGAACTACTATAAATGACTTCTTAATAATACTTATTCAACTAAAGTGAAATGTGAAGTAAATGGTTGTGGCATATCATAAATCTATAACAACATTGATTGAACATCCTTGTTCTATAACATAATATTAACGAAAATTATTAAAGTGTTAGGTGGTCTAATTATTATCCAAAGTTGCTTTAATCCAAAAGCACATTATTATTAAGTCTAAAAAACATTCCCAGATGAAATTGAGCAGGTAGATGAAGAAGCTTGAGCTGAAATGGGAGAGCTTTTACAAGAATGTATTAAGTAAGTTAGAAATTTTGTGATTACTTCCTTTGGGGAAGAAGTCAAGCAAATGCATCTTGTGCCCTTTAGAAAAGAAATTTTATCTACAAGAAAATAGGTGTAAATTTAAATTAAGAGAGTAAATAAGGATTATCAACAAAATGAAAAGATTCTGGTAAGTAGGTAGATGCAAAAGAAAATAACCAATACTTTCCTAATCTACATTTCTGGATTAATTATCTTATGAAAGATATACAATTACATTATTATTGTAGAATTGAGTCACTTAACATCACCAAAATTCTTTTATGATGTTAGTTATGTTCATTTTGTGGTTTTGTTGCAGAATGCCTCCACTATAAAGCATTATTAACCGGAGGAACAAGTAAGTCCTATAGAATCAATCATTTCTAATCCACTACAAAAAAAAATATCCTCTTCAGAAAACCTTGTTGTATATTGTTCTTGATATATATATATGAATTGATAAATTGAAGGCCTGGAATGAAAATAATATTTTCTATATTTTTTCTTTAATTTTTAACTTTCTCTATTTTTTCTTAGTCTTCAATGTTTTGCCTAAAGGAGTTGACAATGAAAATGAGATAAGAAGATCAGAATAAATTAATCAAATAATAAATAATTGATCAATAATCAATAATCAATAATCAATAATCAATAATCAATAGTCAATGATCACCTTTAGCATTCCTTGGTATCTAGCTGTTTTATTACAAGGTTTTGGAGGAGGAAATCTGAATCTCCCATCTTGATAAGCATCTTTGTATTCTTTGATTTCATCATGATAATAATGATGTTTTGTTTATAATAGAAAAAATTGATGACTTAAAGGAGGTATTAAGAACTTTATTGTTATTATGATTTATTCAAG